GTCTGCTTTACCGTTTCTCACGGTGTTGTCGCTTGCAGAATTCTTATCCTTTTTCTTCTACCCTGAAGATGGGGGCGATACGTTCCTCCGAAACGTCGGTTAACACCACATATACACGGTGCCAAATCCCAGAAGACTGCTTTCTTCATAGTCACCGCCGTGAAAGCCTCAAATCTTACAAGTTTGTATGATTTGGCTAGGTGCAAAAGTCGGTTTTCCTTACCTTATGCTGATGTTGCAGTTAAATGTTGGTCTATGGGTGGGTGTCTGATGTGTTGTTTTCATGTTCTTTTTTTTTTCTTCCTGTGGCCTGCCCTAGAATACAAATTTTTATTAGCACAGGGGTGTATACCAGTTTGTGCACTGGAATTTTTTATGATGCTCTTTGGGTGTTTTCTTACCTTACGAGGTCTGACAATAAAGCTCACGAACTCGCTAACTTTTTTTTTATATTAGAGGGATTGTTCATTATGAGTTTATACCAAATGGACAAACAGTCAATCAAGTTTACTATTTGGAAGTACTGAAAAGGCTGTGTGAAAAAGTTAAACGGTAACGAACTCATGGATCTTGCATCATGACACTGCACCTACTCACACAGCAATGTCTGTGAGGGAGTTTTCAGCTAGTAAACAAACAACTCTTCTGGAACACCCTCCCTCTTCATCGGACCTAGCCCCCCAGTGGCTTTTCTCTGTTCCCAAAGATAAAGGAAATATTGAAAGGAAGGCATTTTGATGACACTGATGACATCAGGAGTGATACAAGTTTTTTTTTTGAACATAATGATTCAAAATGTTTAGCAAAAAAGACTTTGGTGGACATGTTGTGGGGGGATTATTTGTGGAAAGCCCTCTGATCGAAGATGAGCCTAGTGTTACGTCGAGTATCGACTCCAAATCCTGAGGATGCTGTGTTGCCAAATTTATATGGAAACAGAGCTGCTATTGAAGTTCTACCCAACACCTTACCCCAGGCACCACCATATGCATCGTTATATCTTACAAAAGCTGTTTCATCTCACGACTTAAATATTCTGGCTTCTCAGTAGAACAACAGTGGAACAAATGTAAATATGAAGAGCTAGTCTGACTTAGATCTTAGAATGACTGGTGATTTTAATTACAAGTATGATTCTGTTATGGAGGATTCAAGTTTTATTTTTGAAAGTCATGATTCATAACGTTTAGAAAAAAGGACTTTGGTGGATGTATTGTGGAGGGATTGTTTGTGGAAAGCCATCTGATCAAAGATGAGCCTAGTATTGGTAAGTCAGGACTTCGGAAGATAGAATTGTCTCAGAGCCTAAAAAATATTGACAGTCCTACAGGTGAAGATCCAATTGTTCCACATGAAAATGAATGTGAATATAATCCATTTATTTTGTTGGTGGGTATTTTCTTTGGTGTGATCTTGGTTTGTTACAATACTGTTTTTAATTTTTGTTTTATGGATTTATTTTGTACTGGTTCTGTTATAATATGAACTTTATTGTATTACCTGTTTAAACACTTTTTGTGGAGAGAAATGTTTCTGGGCACCTGACCTGTTGAATATGGGAAATTCTCTTGTAATGACAAATGCCCACTTCTGTATATTAAACAATCAACTTTCAGTGTACAGTGTTCTGTATGTATGATAATCCAGCGTAACTCTGATCTACTACTTACAATTCCCATACTGCTCTAATATGACTCACTGCTATTAGGGTGACACTGATAATGGAAGCATGGCATACTAAACCAATGAAATGAACAATTTTTGAGGTATTTATAATTTTATATAGTTTTACGAAATAGTTTCAACACTGCTATTAGATATAAATTTCAAAAATAATTAATATGAAATTAAGACGTTGCAATGGCCCTTCTTCTATTATAATTTATAAAAACCTAATTTCTCTCAAAATATAATTATGATGCAGGGAATGTTCCATATTTACTTCTACTTTGAAGGCAAAAATAGATAAGGGAATGTTTAAAATTAATTCAAATTCTGCTTTAAATATCTCAAAGTTTGCAAAGCTGTTCTACAATAATACTAATTAATTTCTTGTATTTATCAAAATCATGGACCCAAATTCTTAGTACTACATTCATGTCGCTAGCACTCTGTGGCCTTAACAACCAATATAAAATGCATACTAAATTTCAAATGAAACAGAAAGATATAATGAATTTTTACACACAAGTGTAAGTATGAAGGAAGAGTTATGTCTTCTGGGATGTGGCACTGTGTAGTATGGTAGAAGTTTGTCAACATATCAGACGAATGTCCATAAATGTCTGCCAGACTATATGGTGTCACATCGTAGAATATTGTATTCTTCATAGTTGCCACTGTGAGCACTTCAAATCTAACATAGTTCATGTTGGAAAGAAAGACAAAATGTTAAGACTTTGCCTCTCAGTGTTTCAATGTTACCTACAATCCAGTGTTCTGAAAAACAACAATTACGCAAGCACACATTCTTTACAATCAAATTTAGTGCTGTAGTCAGCACTGATGTTCTTGCTATGCACAATATACAAACATCTTGATTTATTACAATAGGTGAATGACATTATTCATGTACATATAATTTTATATATACAAGAAACAGATTTACAGATATCACACAAACATAAATGATTTTCATTTCACATCAAAGTATCATCACTTGTGGAATGATAAATAATATCATTTAAATTGCTACAAATAATAAATACAAATGCAATTTAATACTTATAATGAACAAGTATTTCTTTCCTAGGCTCCTTATACTGGTCCTTATAAGATTACTTCTCACACTAGAACCCATAAAATTTAATATAATGAGCTGACAGGACAATGGGTCTCCACGCTGTTGCTGTAGTGGTAGCAGCAATTATCCACCCAACATCTTCTTCTCAGTAATATAAAGGAGGCCTGAAGGATAACTCTCTGCTGATGAATGATAAGTGAGAGCTGAAAATGAACGAATTTGAAAACTGTTATCACCGTATTCTCATTATAGATACACAAAAATTAAGTTGACAATGTTTATAAAACTGTTGAAAACATTACCATCCTCAACTCCATCAGGCACAATTCCTGGAATCATAGTGTACATTTGTGTGAAGGCCCAACCATACACCAAATTTCATAAATTACTTGAAAATAATAATACAAATATACTTTTTATACTAGATGCTAGTTTTACATGCACAAGAAGTTCTGGCAAGAAATTTTAACACCTGCATCCCTACCATCCATACAGGGCTTTCTGAAACATTGCGAAAGACATCAGGATGCATAAGCCGGTATCACACTGGTTCCCTCACTCTCTCTCCAAGAAACAAGAGTTGCACCATTATGCACTTGCTAACCTTCACCTGGAATGCTACCACACGAAATCAGAAACATTCGTTCTTTGCTTCATAGTCATGTAAAAAATACAGGCACAACTGCATGATCCAAAACTCAAGCAGCAGTTAAATGAATAGTGCCACTCTGGGTCGCTTTGTTCACACAAGCTTTGCCAAGAACCAAGTAATTTCAAAATCATGCTGATAGTGGTACATAATGTTCACAGTGATGTACTCTGCTATGCAGCCCCATCAAAATGACAATGCACATTACTATAATTAAGTTCCTGGAGCATCCTCTACTGAGAACACGGCAATGAAGGCAACAATAATACAAATGAAGCACTTAAGTACTTAATGAAGTACATGGAAGAGCATAAAAGGACTAATATCATTCTAATCCACACACTTCATAGATATGATCTTACATCTATATCCTGTGTAAATAAAGAGGTACTGAAATTCAACAGGCAAGTAAAGAAAATAAGCAAACTGAATCCAAATGTGAAACTAATGGAAACTGATCTACAAAGCCAACACTTTACGTGGCATGGACAACATCTAAATCAATGGGGCAAAGAGTTGGTTGCCTCAGAGCTGGCAAAGATAATCAATCAACACTTAACTAAGTCAACAATTAATCCTATCCAAATGCAATGGAAAGAGGATATTTTGCATGAAGAAAATTCAACTGCACAAAATGAAATTGAAGAAGTGGTGTTATCGAATAATTGTAAAAAGACTGTAAAATTAAATAAGTGTCAAGGTCAAGAAATAGAGGCTAATAGCAAAAGATCTATGAGATCTAGAAAAAACCAGCAACAAAATCAAGCGATTTTTTATGGTAAAACCATTTAATAAGGGTAAAACAAAAACTACGAAAAATAACAATATAAAAATTTTTCACCAAAACATACGTGGTTTAAGAAATAAGTATAATGAAATATTATGTCATCTGCGAGAGTATACACCTCAAGTAATCTGTTTCACTGAACATCATCTTGGTAGAGATGAAATAATTCATATTAAATTGACCAATTATACTCTAGGTGCATATTATAGTATGAAAAATTTTAATAATGGTGGTACGTGTATACAGGTGTCCCAGGAGGAATGTGCCAAACTTCGGGAGGGTGTTCCTTATGTTAAAGTATGCCGATATAACCCAAAACACCTATGTCCAAAGTTGAACGGTTACGGAGATAATGGCCCGAGAAAAGTGTGGTCTTCT